CATAAGAAAAAAAAAAAAAAAAAAGCCTCAAAAATATTTACCCACCAAAACATCAAGAATTTATTTTCCTAAAAAAGATGGAAAATTTGGGATGTTGAAAAATATTTTTCCGAGAAAATTTTGTCTATCAAACACTACAAAAATTGGAAAATAGAAAAAAATTCCATGAAAAATGTGTGCTATCAAACGATGACTTATTGTTTAAATAGTATTGCCTTGTGAAGATTTACGTAGCAAGTTTTGATCTCTAATTTTTTAACGTCCTCTGAATAGGTTCGTCATTCTACTTCATGGCATGGGCCTTCGATTATTTGATCCATCACTTCCAACTTTTAGTACTTCTAACTATCCTGTTCTTCTAGATTTCATTCAAATTTTGATTTCTTTTACTTTTGACCTTCAATTTTTGATTTATTCCAAATCTTCTCCAAATGACCGTTTTAGTCCTCAAAATTTATGAAATCCGCAAATTGAACTTCCAAGTCTTCCACTCAAGTTCTTGAACTTCCTGGCAGTCTTGCAATTCCATCCTTCTGTCTCAATTAAGCTCCAAAAATCTTCATTTTGATTGATTCAACTTAAAGTCGAGTTTTTACCTAAGAAAACAAAATGCACACGACTATGAGTGAAAATCCGCCTAAGTAGTTATATAAATTGATAATATATTGACATAAATCAATCGTGATAAATTTTCTTTTACTATTTTAATTTATCGGAGGCCATGCTGCATTAAAATAGCATCAGAGTACTTATCTACAACTCATTAAGATTTTATAGTGTTACCCTTACTTTGCAGCAATTTTTACAGTTATTTTAATTCAGTCTTTTCAGCACGAGAGAAGTAACATAGTACTCGAATGATTCGCACGTTCTATGTGCTCTAGACATGTCTAGACATGTCACAAAATTTATCATTCATTATCACAAAAATTGGGTCAAGATCCCCTTTAAAAGTTACACATTTGCATGATAAAAAGTACTTTCTGGTTCCCAACCACCACCAACTAGCAAGTTGTAACTAGGTGCTAACAAATGGTGGGACACTTGCACGATCTCGTTATAATTTATATTTGCTGGTGAACAACCAAGCAAATTGCAAAATAACATCTTCAGATTAAATTTTAAATATATGTAATCTAATTTGACTACCTAATTAAGGCCTTTTTAGTAATGTTGTTATTTTTGCTTCTACTTCTTGCAAGAGTTTCTTCCTGAAAAAGTTAGAGCGTGTACTCTTTACCATTTTCAAGCCGCTTTCTGTTTTCGATTTTCCAAAACAGTGAAAACGCGTTTTTGAAAACCAATTAAAAATTTACAAAGAAAATCCAAAATTTGTCATTTTGGGTATTTTCAATTATAATCAAGCCAAAATTTTCAAAACACGTTTTGTATGTTTTCAAAATGCAAAAAAAAATACATTTTCAACAATCTCAAAATAGCCACGCAAAATACAAAACTCAAAATG